TCTGCTAGCCACAGGTGGCTGAAGACCTCACCAACAGGAAGACCCCACCACTACCTATTTCTATCAGACCAGGTCATCCAACAGCTGGCCACCAGCTCCAGACAATGTTTGAAAAGTGGATGGATTTTATTGTTATAGGTACAGTCAGACAGCAGTTGGCTGAGAAACGGCAACCAGAAACAGGGAGCACTGCCCTGGCCTGATAACTCAGTTGGTTACAGCATTGTCCGGATAATCCAAGGTTGTGAGTTCGATCCCCGATCAGTGTACATACAAGCATCAACCAATGAATGCATAAATAAGTGGAACAACACAATCAGTTTCTCTCTCTCTCTAAAAAATAAATCAATGTTTAAAAATTTTTTAAAAACAACAACACAGGCAGCAGCAGGTAACAACACATCAGACGGGTGTCCCCGTGGGAGACAGGACTGGTTCTGTTCTAAACACTACAGCCCAAAGGAACTGCACATCTTTCTTGTTTCCTCCCCATTGCAGAAGCAAGGTTTGGATTTCCTATGTCAGTTTCATTTACATTTCAGCAAAAGCAAAAGGGAGCACACACTTTTATATCTCCTGCTGGGGATGCTTAAAATTACTGAAGCACTGCACCCCACCCAACCCCCCAAATCTCTAACTTCTAGCCCTTAAATTGCTCCGGTTATGAGTGACAAATCAGGAACCAAGTTATCGAAACAGAAAAGGAGAATACACATTTCTGCTTTTTCTCCAACACACAAATGAGGTAGTAAATGCTTTCGATGTTTGCTGTCCCGTGCTACTGGTGGATGAAGGAGCCACACACTAAACCTGACGAAATTAAAGCCTGGGAGGCCCGCATGGCAGGCCTTACAAACTCAGAGGCTGAGAGTAACCGCATAGGATGATCTGACACAGAAAATTCCTAACTAAAAGCGAGTCATGGCCTGTAGCTTCCTAGACAAAGGTCAATATCTACCTTAATTGAGACCGTCTGCTGTCTTTTTGCATCTAAGATAACATACCTTTGAAAAGTCATAGTGTGCTCACTTTGGCAGCATAGATACTAAAATTGGACCAAGACAGAGAAGATTAGTGTGGCCCCTGCTCAAGGATGACACGTAAATGCGTTGTGTTCCATATTTTTTTTTGTTTGAAAAGAAAAAAAAAGAGAAATCTTCTTTTCCAGACCTCTCAGGGCACAACCTCTGCACCAGGGCAGACCACAGAACCCCTCATTTTCATCTTGCTCTAGGAATACTACGTCTGTTTTGTAAACGTTAATTGTTAACTATCCTGTGTCCACCAATGTGAAAGAAGTGTCTCTCCAGTTTCCTCTTTATCCAATCTCAGAGATTTCCCGCTTGGCTTTCTCCCGCCCTTTCCTACTTTGATTCTAATGTATCAAATAAACTACAAAACTGCCATTTTCCGGAGCATTTTCTCAGTCCGTTGAGATTTTGTTTCCTGGCAACTGTCATCATTTTGGCCCAAATAAACTCATAAAAAATTCTTTGCACGTTCTTACATCAACATACTGAAGGTAGTTGTGGTAAGGGAAATAAAAACTATAGATAGAATCATTTCCTGGAAAGAAGAGATGCCTGGAGCCAGCAGACTCAGCTGAAAATGAATGAGAAATCAATTTACCAGTGCGCTCTTCCGAAACGGACGCCAAGGTAGTTTCCCCAGGAGTGATCTCAATGGTAGACTTTGTTGCCAAGCAACTTTGGGGAGCAGTAGCCTGTCCCTGTCAATATTCACTGCAGTTACTCCCACAGCAACAAACGGTCACTTGCTTGACAGCTGGGCAAAGTGTGGATGTTATTTTTTAAATATATTTTTATTAATTTCAGAGAGGAAGGAAGAGGGAGAGAGAGATAGAAACATCAATGATGAGAGAATCATTGATCGGCCGCCTCCTGCAAGCCCCCACCCCCACCCCACCAGGGATCGAGCCCACAACCCGGGCATGTGCCCTTGACCAGAATCGAACCTGGGACCTTTCAGTTCACAGGCCGATGCTCTATCCACTGAACCAAACTGGCTAGGGCAGTGTGGATGTTATTAATGTACTCAACATGGAATGCTAAGGGACCATCGAAGCACCCAGCAACAAAGGCATCTAGAATTGAATATTATCAGCGGAGGAACCCCACAGATAAGAGCAGGACTAGCCTGGAAAGACAGGATGAGGTACATAATTCCCCTTCAAGGTTTCCAGCCTCAAAAAAAGCTCTCCCTATCTTTTCCCAGTATTGCCCTGGAAGAATTTGCTAAGGCAGATACAACTCTTAACAGGATGCTCTGTGTTCTCTGAGTTTGGGTGTGCCCTTGGCATATTTGGTACTCTGCACACAACTATTATATAGATGTAGATGTGAACAAAAAACCATCTCCATCTTTGTGTCCTTTCATGTTGTGACCTTTGCTTAAACTCACTGTCCTTAGTAAGCACATCAAAACCTTCTAGTTTACCCTAGCTGGTTTGGCTCAATGGATAGTGTGTCCGTCTGCGGGCTGAAGGGTCCCGGGTTCGATCCTGGTCAAAGACACATGTCCAGGTTGCGGACTCAATCCCCAGTAGGGGGCGTGCAGGAGGCAGCCGATCAATGATTCTTTCATCATTGATGTTTCTCTCTGTCTCTCCCCGTCCCTTCCTCTCTGAAATCAATAAAAACATTTAAAACAAAACAAAAAACCCTTCTAGTTAATGAATATCTGTGTTCCTTAAAATACTTTTGTTAATAATGACCAGATGACAACAGAAATGAATACCCAACTAGTGATAGTATGGACCACCAGGATATGTGGCCCCTGGCACTACCGTATCTTTTGTCCCTTGGTCTTGTCAATCCTTAGTACCTGTGTTATAATATTTACAAATGTGCAGTAACAGGAGTCTTTAGCGGAGAATAACTTTAGTGGAAAACTGCTGTGTTGTCCCTTCCACTCTGGCCCAATCTTCCCTCCAGGAAATAGATTCTGTGATATTCTATGGAAGTGCCTGTTTCTGTGTCGCTCTTAAGATACCTTCTCCTTACAGTAGCCATTACGTCTTTGCTCCATCATCAGACAACTATTAAGGGACATTGATCTGGCTGAGGAAAGCCTCCAGCTCAGATTCCAAGTACGTTCATTTCCAAAGGAAATGAACAAGACATCCCCCGACCCCACCCCCAACCCGAGATGCTTTGAAGACAGACAGCCCAGGAGCCAAGGGGGCTGCTGCAGCATCGGGTTTGCACCAGGAGAGAGAAGTAGCTGCCAGCTGCCAGGGTCTGGGGAGATGGGACTCGGAGCCGCCTTCAGAACAGGAGACCCATCAGCTCCCAGCCACCCAGCGGGAGAGAAAACTAAACTGCACGTCTTGCCCCAGCCTCACTGCCATGACTCCCCCGGGAAGGAGGGGATCAGCGTGTGAACTGCAGGTGAGTCAGGTTTCTCTCGACCACCCGGGCCCTGCACTTCACAACTGCGGGCTGAATTATTACACTGTCCTCTGCTGAGGCTGCACCTCCCAGCACAAACCCATAGGTCGAGTTCAAAGCTCTCCAGTCAAAGCCAACCCCCTCCCCATTAAAAAAAAAAAAAAAAGCTTCCTGCAATCCTGTGAATCAGGAAACCCCAATCCTTTTATGGCTCTGGCAGCTCATTTAAAGCCACTCAGGACTGTGCACCTCCCAGCCTCTTGTCTAATCTAAATCTGAAACCCCTGAAGCAGTGGTTCTCAACCTTCCTGATGCCGCGTTCCTCATGTTGTGGTGACCCCCACCCATAAAATTATTTTCCGTTGCTACTTCATAACTGTAATTTTGCTACTGTTATGAATCGTAATGTAAATATCTGATATGCAGGATGTATTTGGGCGACCCCTGTGAAAAGGGTCGTTGGACCCCCCAAAGGGGGTCGCGACCCCACAGGTTGAGAACCGCTGCAAAGTGAAACATCGTCAGAGAGGCAGTTCAACTGAACCCGCTTGGGAGCCCCCCGAACAAACAAGGCGATTCTGAGGTGTCCGTCGGTGTCGCACCTTCCCGGCCCGGCGCGGCCCCCACCGGCCCATTTCTGGGGCGAGGCGTCGGCCTCGGGAGGAGCCGAGCCCCGCAGGCGGCCCGGAGACACTGCGACAGGTCCCGGGCGGGCGAGGCGAGGGCGGCCTCGAAGACACAGTGGGAGTGGAGGCTGGGGCACCGAGCGCGGAGGAAGCCGCGGAATTGGCCGAGGGGACCACGGCGCTCGGCGGGCGCCTCGTGCTCGCGCGCGGAGGAGACGGCAGGGCCCGGGGAGGGTCGTCTCCTTTGTGACGGGCGCCCCGGACCGACGCGAGCGAGCGGATCTCCGGCGGCCGCCTCCTGCCGCACCAGGCACGGCGCGAACCCTCAGCCAGCCCCGCCCCGCGCGTGCGCAAGCCCCGCCCCGCTCCGCGCGCGCCTCCGCAGATGCCGCCTCCCATTGGTCAGGGGGAGAGACTCTAGGCTCGCCTGTTTGAATTGCGCCCAATGGGGGCTCGGGGGCGGGCCGGGGGCGGGGTGGGAGGCGTTGGCCGAGGGCAGAAGCGCGCGCGCCGCGGCCGGGTAGGATGCCCTCGGCTCGGCTCCCAGGTGCGCGGAGCCCGCGGGCGGCACAAAGCCGACTTGGAGCCTCGGTGACTCCTGCCCGCGGTCGGGCGCGGGGAAGCCGAACTTCGGGTCACCCTTTGCCCATACAGTAACTCCGGGACGGGGTCCCCCTCCCAGCGCTGGGGATCCGGTTCCCGGTCTGAAGGAGACCAGGGGAATCCCCATTCGAGCGGACTAGCGGGGAAAGCCGCATCCCGTTTCCTCCGGCTCCCCAGACCCTCGCGCCCCTCAGCGTTCTCTCCAGCTGTTGGGGAGGACTTTGTGCCATTGTCCCACGTCTCCCAAGGATGCAGTGATTTTTTTTCGCTGCCCCACACCCCCCCAGAAAAATTACCAAGGGGTCTCTGGGAATTCGGGGGGCTCCCCACACCCCGTGCGGGCGCCCGGAGCCAGCCTCACCTGCAGGCATCTCCGCGGCGAGGAGCAAGACGGGCAGCCAGCACAGCCTCATGCTCTCCGCGGCGCCCGGGCCCCCGTTCGCAGTGTCCGCGCGGCAACCTCGGGCTTCGCACAGCCCGGCGGCGACTGCACGCGGGGCCCAGTCATTTGCAGCATTTCAATGCGAGGTCCCTCCGAGGGGGAGGAGGGGGAGGAGTCTGCATCGGGTGATTTTCAAATATCTGCACCTCGCGGCGAGAGGAGGAGTTTGGGCCGCGGACGGGACACAGCCCCTTAACCCCTTTAGCCCTGCGGGCTCCCGGCCGGACCCCGGCTTTGTGGGATGTGGGTGCAGAGCGGGCTCTCCCCAAACTGGAAATGCATCTCCTGAAAGCTCTCCTTTCCATTCCCACCAACTTCTCGTTGCTCCGTTCCCCTTGGGTGTCCCAAGATGAATGGTCTGTCCTTCCAACAAGGGCTCATTGGCTGGTGACAGTCTCCCCTCGGCCTCAGACGGGAAAACTGGATGTGGGAAAGTTTCCCCCCTCCTTTCTCTCCGCACCTTTTCCTTTCTAGGAACTGAATGTAGATTTTAGCCGAGTTTTAGTTCTCTATAGTTTTTAGACGGTTATTCCAGATCGCAGTATAAACAGTAACCAAGGAGGCCTTTGAATAAAATCCTCACAGAAGTACAACCAACCACGGGTTCTGTCTTGTGGGATTCGGCACTTGGATGAATTATGAGCAAAAACATCGCTAAAACAACGGACCCGAAACCTGGAGCCTGGACATAGATATTGATTTATCCTTTTCGGAGAAAGAGATGAACAAACAGGCCACTTCCTCTCCCCAAGGAAAAATCAAAACAAAGTGGGGCTTTCAGAGCCGACGTGACTGCCCAGCCCGCGGAGGGCGGGTGGGGAGCAGAGCAGCTTCTAAGGATCAGAAGCCTCTTCGGGGGTTTGTGCGGCTGCCGTGGCCCCCGGCCAAAAGGCTCACACAGCACCTGGCCGTCCTGGAGGGTTCCCCCAAGAATGAGTGGAGTTCCCTGGGGTTTACAAACGGCGCTTGGCAGGGCACACTGAGCTCAGGACACTGATGGGAAACCCATGGGAGAAGGCAGAAAAGAGCCGGAGCCCTGGCTGGGTAGCTCAGCTGTTAGAGCATCGGCCCAATATGCCAAGGTTGCGGGTTTGATCACAGTCAAGGCAGGTGAGAGAATCAACCAATGAATGCATAAATAAGTGGAACAACAGATGGATGTCTCTCTCTCTCTCTCCCCTCCTCTCTGTAAAATCAGTAAAAATTAAAAAGAAAAGAGGCAGAAGGGGGCAATCAAACCTTCAGAAAGAAAAACGGTGATGCATACTGAGGAAGAGGTTTATAAGCAGAATGGTAGTTCAGAGCCCCAACTCTGGAATCAGACAGACTTGGGTGAGTGAATGAGCTTTCACAGCCTGGAAAGGGGAGAAAATAATGCCCTCTTCCCTTACTTGGCAGGCTCAGGGTCAGGGTCAAATGAGTTAATGAGCAATCACCTGGGCAAATTTACAAGGATGGGCAAGTTCTGGGAACTGTTGCAACATTTGTGAGTGTGCCACCGTGAAACTCCACTCCTTGGACCAGATGCTCCATTTCCTTTTTCAATCAATTAGGATCATAAGTTTGGTTTCCCTTCAGGAAAATGACAAGACATAGCATGCTGTGTTTCCGTGGGGAGCCCAGCTTTCCCTGAGCCATCTGAGGGTAGGAGGCCCTGCTCAGCGGGCCTGGAAGAGTGACCAGGAAGAGGCCGTCTTCCGGAAAGGAACGTCGCTCTATGTCTCCAGAGCTAGTCCTCCTTAGATGCGAGGGCAGGCCTGGAAAAGGACCACAAAAGCTCTGAAAAGAACATTCCTGGGGTGCAAGGTCTCCAGGACAGCTCTCCCCAAGTCTCCCCGTGACCTGCCTGCGGAAATCACCAGGCCCCTTCTGTTCCTAACACCACACGTGCCCTGAGGACAGGGTCATGCTGATTCATTTTTCTACTTCTACCTCTTGGAGCCTCCATTGCTCTTCTGCAACTCGCTCAGAGGCTTGTTGTATTTGGTAACTTCATATAGACTTGCCAC